GGTTCTCACAATGAAGCGGTGAGTGATGAAACTTCATTTGCAACTGAACTATTTGAAACACCTGATGCTGGAGTTTCTGAGTCATTTAGTCACTCAAGCTTTGAAACTAAAGATGCTAGTTTTGCATCTAGAAAACCAGGATTATTAAATGAACAATACGAGGAGGACTTTGATGATAAACATTCACCTCGTATACCAGCTGTTATACCCAGTTTAACAAACCAAAGCATTGAACCGCAAGGAGTGTCAAATTTAAATGAAACAGGAGACTCCAACAGTTCATGTGATTTGCCATCTCCTGAGGCTGTAAATTCACAGTCTGCTTCTATGGTAGAATCTATGGTTGAGGATGTTGGCATACAGAATGTAGTCGAGATTCCAACCGAAGCAGACAATTTAGTCTCAGAAGCCCATGATGCAAACAGAGGTGAATTATCAACAACAGCATTAGAGGGCACTGTTGTGAATCTGAATTCTAAAGAACAAAAAGAAAACACCCTTAACAGATCAACTTACAGCTTTTCAAATTCTGAAGGTATCTTTGTCTATGCTGGCATACCTGCTCCATCTTCTGTCTCTGAATCTCTGCAAGCACTTCCAGGGAAGGTGCTAGTTCCTGCTGCCATTGATGAAGTCCATAGTCAGGCATTAGCAGCCTTACAAGTTTTGAAGGTCATTGGTCATTTTGCTCTCATTTATTCAAATTTTGCAAAACAAAGTTATACAATATTTCATTATGCATGGCTTTCCCAATTCCATCATTAAATATTTAGGTACATCAACTCTGTCACTATTCTACAAAAGAATCTCAATTATGAATTTATGATGCATGTAGTCCAGCAGTTGGCAGTCAAGATCAGGGCGCAACTGTTTGTAATTATACGGTTTTTACCTCCTCTGATATGTTTACACTCTTAGGTTATTGAGGCTGATGTTCAACCCGGTGACCTTTGTACTCGCCGTGAATATGCCCGGTGGTTGGTTGCATCTAGCTGTGCTCTATCAAGGTATGCACATCTTAAAACAGAGCACCACCTTGCTATGATTGACACTGCATCCTAGGCGGGTTAAGAACTTAAGATGTGCATAAGATGATAGCATGCCCGTCTGTCCCGATTTCTTGTAGGTCCATTGTCTCCAAGATCTATCCTGCGATGTATATTGAGAATGTTACCGAGCTTGCCTTCGATGATATTACAACTGAAGATCCTGACTTCCCCTTCATACAAGGTAGAGCTTAAGATATGTGATCTTTTAAGTTTTATCCATTGATCCAATTCCAGTCTCTGAAGTTCGCAACATTTCAGGCTTGGCTGAAGCTGGTCTTATCTCCAGCAAGCTATCAAGAGGTGACATGCAGTCACCTTCAGATGGAGAACAAAGTCCCATCTTCTTTTCTCCCGATAGGTGACCTCAATATAAAATGCTTCACTGTCGTGTTGATTACCCTCTTATCAAGTAACAATTGTCTACTTGTCTAGAAGTCGTATTCCTGTTGCAGTGGGATCTTTGTGAAGTTGCAAATAGATTATGCTCTGCCTGACCTCAAACATTGCTTATGTTTATTTAACAACTTTATGATGTGTATTCCTTGAATGCACTGATCAGGGTTCTGAAATCTGAACATTCTTATTGCTCATGTTATGCTTTCTAGTGGCCTGGGTTTTAGGTGAATTGGCAATTTTATTGCTCCTTATCTAATTCATAAAAGACCTGGATGCAGTCCTTTGTCACGTCAGGATCTTCTCAGTTGGAAGATGGCCCTAGAGAAAAGACAGCTTCCTATAGTTGACCAGAAGGTTGGATCCAAACACCAAAGCTACTTCTTTCTTTTGAAATTTATATAGAAAGGCCAATAATTTTAAATTGCAGACATTTCTTTTCCCTCATTTTGTGTTTCTTTATCTACTTTGTTTGTGGGATAGATGTTGAAGCAACTATCAGGGTTTATAGATATTGACAAGATCCATCCAGATGCATGGCCTGCCTTGGCAGCAGATTTAGCATCAGGGGAACACGGAATAATAGCCCTTGCATTTGGTGAGCCCCGTCCTGTGTTAACATTTTTTTTGATGTGAAAGGTGAATGCTTATTAATAGCCCCTTTGCAGGATATACAAGGCTGTTCCAGCCAGATAAACCTGTGACAAAAGCCCAAGCTGCAATTGCCCTTGCAACTGGTGAAGCTTATGATGTTGTTAGTGAGGAGCTTGCCCGCATTGAGGCTGAATCTATGGCTGAAAAGGCTGTCACTATCCATAAAGCTTTGATAGCTGAAGTGGAGAAAGATGTCAATGCAATTTATGAGAAGGAACTCTCATTGGAAAGAGAGAAGATTAATGCTGTGCGGAAACTAGCTGAGGATGCAAGACTAGAATTAGAGAAGATACAAGCTGAATGGGAGGAAGAGAATCTTGCCTTGCTGAAGGAGCGTGCTACGGTTGATTCAGAAATGGAAGTTTTTTCCCGGTTAAGAAGTGAGGTAGAGGAGCAGCTACAAACCCTCGTGAGCAACAAGTTGGAGATCTCTCATGACAAAGAAAAGCTCAAAAAACTCCGGGAAGATGTTGAACATGAGAGTCAAGAGATATCAAGGTTGCAATACGAGCTAGAGGTTGAGAGAAAAGCATTGTCTATGGCTAGGTAGGTAGCCCCCATCTTTTCATCGAATTTGTAGTTTCAATGGTTTCTCCAATTGATGTGTGTTCTTTAATTTTTTGACCCAGAGCTTGGGCTGAAGATGAGGCTAAAAGAGCTAGAGACCAAGCAAAGGCCCTGAAGGAGGCAAGAGATCGTTGGGAGAAGCATGGCATCAAGGTGGTTGTCGACGATGAACTACAGGAAGAAGCAAATGCTGGTGTCACATGGCTAAGTGCTGGAAAGCAGTTGACGATTGAAGGAACCGTGGGTAGGGCAGAGACCTTGGAGGACAAGCTGAGAGGAATCTCTGGTTATGTTAGAGGAAAATCGAAAGATATGATTCACAAAATAATGGAGAAGATACATTTATATATTACCATTTTAAGGAAGTTGGCACAGAAAGGATGTAGGGAGGCCGTAATGCTAAAAGATACTGCCACAGCAAAGATGAGTAACTCTCTCCACTCCGTGAAGCACGGCTCTGCTGAATTTGGGGAGGGAGTTAAGCGATTTGCTGGAGACTGCAAACAAGGAGTTGAGAAAATCTCTCAAAAATTCAAAACTTAAACCTGTCATACTTGTCAACATCCCTTTCTTGTACTTTGGTTGGGCCGTTGGGGCCACGATTCCTCCCCAGGATAGTAAGAGAGTCCATGTAGAGAACAAACCAATCCATGTTTTGGAACTAGAAGAATATCTCTGCTAATTGTGTTTACTTTAAAATAATTACGGAGTACTATACGACTACTTATTGTAAAAAAAAAGTATAGTGTTCTTTGATTTACAATGATTTGGATGATTGGGGATTTGTTCGAAACACTGCATATTGCTTAACTACATAATTGATTTGTAATGTTTTGGATGACTGCACCCTTGCAATACATTCGAACAAGCTTTTACGATAGAGTGGGCAGCACGAAGCCTGACCCAAATAGGCAATTGAAATAGTTCAATAAATTTGGGCAAGAAAGTTTTTGCATGAACAATGTTAACCCGGTCTCAAGAACCAAGCTAGCCCCGGTTCTGTAATGTGTTGTAGGGGATCAATGCAATTTATATTTTAGCAGCGGCAAGGAAGAGAGTGACCACGGCGAGGGAAAGATGGAGTACCGGTGACCATGAACGGAGTTGATGGGGAGGAAACCCTAGTTTGATCGGCTATCAATGCATCATCAATCTATGATTTGTAGCCGGGGCTCCTTTAATTTGTTTCTACTAGGGTCTTCTACTGAGAAGAAAGAACACAAATTTGTTCGGGTCTAGTTTTCTACCGAGAAGAAAGAGCGCCTAACACAAGAAGTAAATTAAGGAGGGGCTGCAGATTGGAGTGGTATGAACGGTATGTAACTATAGAATGAGTTCTACGATGTTTGAGAATGATCATTACGTTATTCTTAAATGAATATTATAATTATAATAAACAAATGTGTAAAAATGAATATTACGGAATACATTATTTCACAATGAGAACTACTTAGATTCAAAATGAGCAACATGTTATTTCAAAATGAGTATTATTTTATGCGAAAATAAGTATTAGTAGTACTTTACTTTAAGATTTAGTATTGATTTGGTTTTTCCTATCTGTTTGAATCAATCATGCCGCCTTATTTTTCATGCTCAAAATCTAGGTATATAAAATATTGATTGTTAGATTTATTCATTAATATATTTTTCCGCTGTTCTCTTTTTAGGTGGCTTCTTTTACGCCCTGTTTTTATTTATGCTTGGAGAGCCTTTTTGGAGTTTTTTTTTAAAAAAAATTGATTTTCAGGTAGAGTTGGATATGAGATGGGCTCTCCGCCCTATATGTCTTGTTAGCCATATTGCTCTATTGAAGAGAATCTTGTGATAGTATTTACAAAAAAAGATATGCCAACTAGATTTTCCACTTCAATATTAGCCCTGGTATAAGGTATTGAACGAACCATTCATGTTCTCATATGGTTTGTGCCACTACAATTATTATTTTACTAAACCACTACAATACTTTTACGTTAATTAGTAATTAGTCTTTGAAACAAAAAAAAACACCAGACTTGAGACTATAAAACCTTGGGGGTCGGTAGTCCGGGGATTAAGAAATGTTTTATGGATAAAGCTATTTGTACCCCATGTTTTGTACCCTACTTTGTACCCCGTAGCTTTGCACCAACACTTTGTGTTAGTGTAAAACTAATTTTTGTTAATGCACCAACACTTTGTGTCCGTGTAAATTTTCGTTAACGCACCAACACTTATGTTGGTGTAAACCATCAAAATGTTTGTGTATAACTGTGGTGTACAAATGGGGTACAATTTGTGGTGTAAGTGTAGCATAACCCATGTTTTATACTCTAACGCTGTAAAACATCTTCGAATCATGGTGTGGGGCCTGCGGAGTAGAGCAATTTGGACCGCAAAACATCTGTCAAAAGTCAAACCCACAAGTGAAGTAAGCTAATACGGAGTAACACATTCCAATCTGTCCTCTCATTGCCACTTGCAGAGATGCTTAGGGTGTGCCCCACCACACCCTAGATTTTCCTCCCCACCCCACCCCACCAAATGCATGCAAGACCCCACCCCCAATATTATTGTGACACCTCAGGATTCATTCATTTTTTGCGCCCACACAAACACACAAGTCCTCCTCCATCATCACCACCTTCCCAAATGGATCAGCAGCAGGTACAGTGAGCTTCTCAGTATTATACAGTGAGCATGAAAAAAGGATTCAAATCACAAATATGTATATTTATATATTCTTCTTTCTTTTTAATCCATGTTGCAGAAAGTGGTGATCAGGGTGCTCACCATGACTGATGACAGGACAAAGCAAAAAGCCATTGAAGCTGCTGCTGACATTTACGGTAGGTACCCTCTTTTGATTATATCAATCCTGTTTCTTCCCTCTTCAATTTTAACAATAGGGATCAAGAGGGTGTGATTAGCATCAAATCTCATATGAACGGGCAGGGATAGATTCAATCGCTGCGGATCTAAAAGAGCAGAAGCTGACAGTGATAGGAGTGATGGATGCAGTTGCAGTGGTGAAAAAGCTGAAAAAAGTGGCCAAAGTCGAAATTGTGTCGGTTGGGCCTGCCAAGGAAGAGAAGAAAGAAGAAAAGAAAGAGGAGGAAAAAAAGGAAGAGAAAAAAGAGGACGAGAAAAAAGAGGAAGAGAAGAAAGAAGAAGCCAAACCAGAAGAAAAGAAAGAGGAGAAGAAAGAGGAGCAGAAGTGACAACGCACCTTTATATTTTCTCTAATCCTCCCTTTCAATATTTCTGTTTCATCAGCTCAGAGCCTCAGACAATGTAATTGTTTAGCCGATAAAAGTTGGTTCCAATCTGAGCAGAGAATATATACATATTACCAACTGAATAAGAAAATCAGTGTTTATCTTTGATGCACGCGACTAACTAGCTACAGAGTACCAGTGATGAGTATGCTTTAGGTGAATGTGCAGACGTACTAGAATAATGTGTTTAAACCAGAAAGTAAATTGATAGAGGAGGACATGGCTCATTCATTCGTGGCAGCATTCAAACATATCCTTGGTCAAGCTTCTATGCACAAGATTGTTGGCACACAAAATATTGGCTATGGTTTTAAAAAGAACTTCTAGTCAACGACTTGTGTGCATGAATATGAACAAAATGCATTAATAGCAATAACATGGCATCTTTGTAGTACCTAACATTATACAAAAACTCTGCTCGCACAACCCAGTTTTTGTTGACGTCTCAAACTACCAAATCCCATACTTTTACGGAGACAAACATAATGCAATATTTTCCAAAGGAAACATTAGGAAAATATTCAATTTGGCAGAAACAAAGAACAAAGCGAAATGGTTATTAAAAAAAGAACCAGCTTCATAGATTACAGGTATGTCTGAATATGGCATTAACAACACCAACATAAAGGCACCCGACTATCTGCATTTGGCATTACACATCAAAGGAACATCACGGGAACAATGTAGACTGCTGCTATTATCTATATTTCAGGTACTCCCTAGGGAGCTTATAAGTAGTACACATATGTGCGCCATACTTGACATAAGATTTTAACTCCGTTCATAGTCAGCATAGCAGATCAATATCTAAAGAGTACATGCGACACTAATTACAAAAGGAAACATAAATAGAAAACAAAAGAGGTTCACTTCTTAACACATATATGCATGACAAAATGGAAAATGATATTCGTATCATGCTCCCTGCAACAAAACTTTCTTCACACCCAAAAATTTAAGGGTGGATGACCATTGCACAGGTACCCACCTCTGTTTTAGCATCTTCTATATCTTCTGATTTTTGATACAAGTGCGATGTAGCTACCTTTTTCCACCATATATCTCAACACACGATCAGCTTCTAAAAGCTTTCCAGCCTTCTGCAGGTGGTTAACAAGTGTACTGTACACGAGAAAGTTTGGATTGCGGCCCTTTGATTCCATTTCTTTCAACATCATACAAGCTTCCTCAAATTTCTTCTCCATGCAAAGCCCTCGGATCATGGAGTTGTAGGTAAATACATTCGGCAGCTGACCCTTGGCAATCATCTCAGAGAATAATCCCTTAGCTTCATTAAATTCACCAGACATGACATATCCGGTAATCATAACAGTGTAACACACAACATCAGGCTCTATCCCTTGCTTTATCATCCTGTCAAAAAAATATTTGCACGCATCCAAGTTGCCTGCTCGACACAGCCCATCAATTAAAGTTGTGAAATGAAGAATGCTAGGAAAACAACCAACTTCATTCATGTGCTTTAACAAATTAAGAGCTGCTAGCGGTTTGTCCGACTTGCCAAGTGCATGAAGAAGGATATTGAATGTATGAAGATCAGGTGAAAAGCCGTTCCTTCCCATCTCATCAAGTAACCTGTGAAACTGATCCAGTTTTCCCAGCCTGTACTTTGCACACAGGATGATATTATATGTTAACATATCAGATGAGTGGCCTTCAGCCACCATCTGCTCATACACCCACTCAATCAACCTGTACTGTTTCACAGTCAAAAGGGAATGTAAAATTGCATCAAATGAATGCTTGAAGGGCCTGTAGTTGAATTTCTTAGACTTAATAAACATTTCGACTACTTCCCTGGCTAATCCTGCCTCGCCGCAAGCACATATCAATATGGAAAAAGTGCGAGCCGTAATTGAGTAACCTCTCTCAATCATCTCGTCCACTAACCTCCACATAGCCTTGAACTCCCCCGACTCTGCGAAAATCTTCATGAGTAAATGGTATGAGTTTGTTGTGTGAGAGTAGTTCTCATTCTGACCGGACCACACAAAGAACTTGTACCCCATCTTCGCACACCTACTCTTATCAGCAAAATTTAGGGTTTCCAATACCCCTGCAAGAACCTCCCTCACCAGAAGCCCCGAAAGCCTAATATGTAGATCATCTAAAGCTGTTTTTGCATCAAAGCCTGGACCATCTTGATAAAGAATTTCAAGAATTCGCCGAGCCTCGAGTTTTGTGTCATTAATAAACTTGCTTCTGGTGGAAAGTTTCGGCTGGGAATACCCTTCAGGAAAGCTAGAACCAGACGATGACCTGTCGGAGTTCTCTGAGTTCTCTTCAAAATTATAATCATGATTGGGATTTCCCCAGCTTTCTTTCAGACAATCCTCAGTGCTTCCTAATCCATTCAAGAAATCATCACTATTAACACTCCTTGTACACAAAAAACGCAAAGAACTGCTAGAACAAGGAAATATCTTGACGGCCTTAAGAGCAAGAAGAGCAACAGAGCGCATAGCAATATGTTAAGGAAAAAACGGCACGCCCATTAGTGATATTCAATTAGTACGTTCACTTCATGCGAACTAGCCGAGGGAAAAAAACTTGAACACATATGCATTGGAGAAATCTTCTAACTTTATTGCTGTCTGGATTCAAATGCATCAGAGAGAAATAGTATAACCAATTGGATTAGGGTTGCGAGGGTTGCCTGGTAAATTAAATTTTGGTCGAGGCTAAGCCGCCAGAGCTCAAGTCACCGCAGGAGCTGAGGAGTGAGGACTTGCTCTTTTCATCCACTGTACTCAGACAAGCTAGATGGATGTGAGCAGAAACCCATAGTTTTATGGGATAAATGAATCAAGAAAATAGAAAAAAAAGGATGAGCCCAAGGCCCCTCAGACTTGGCCGGACGGTCAATAACCTTTAGTAGGAATCGAATTTGAGTGTTACCCCTTTAACATCCCTTGCCTTGCCAATAGTGCAATGCCTACCGAGTTCGATTTCTGCCTTACCTTTCAAGAAAATAGGGTTCTACAAAAGTGGGTAAAGTAAAATGAAATTCAAAATAAAATCAGAATAGGGATTATTATAATTTTACTTGTAATATTTTGGAACAATGACATTTTAGCATTTCAAAATCTGCAGGATTTGCGACGGATTAGAATTTTGAATGCAGATCTCTCATGGATTTTTTATGTCTCTCGCAAAAAAATGCGCGCGACATGTTCATTATTCGCACCAATCAAATCAGCCACGAATTCTATGCATCGTCCAAAATACGCTACTGACATCTGCCACAGAATATGTTCTGTCGCAGATATCAATAAAAAATAAAACTCCTAACCTTAGTCTACTTTGCATTTCGTCCACAGATAAGATCGCGACCTATCAAACCCTCAACTCCCTCGCCGCCTCGTTGTCTCGCCATCCGTCCCCATAATCAACCGCCCGATAGCTTGCCTCGCCTCGCCACTGGCGTGACTTCATATGTCGTCCCACCCGACACCTCCTCGCATTGCAGCGGCTCTCAGCCAAAACAACCTTGCGTCATAAAATCGCAAGACGAAGCTGACGCCACCCCCACCGGCCGCCACCACGAGTCTTAGCCTCCCATCGACCCCCCCTCCCCCCACCACCATAATGGACGGAAGCTCCCCCATCAATCATTAATAGAATATTTTAAGCCAATAAGAGTATATTTTAATAAAGGGTAAAGTGCTTACAAGGACCTTATTATTTTAAGTGCTTACAAGTTCCCAATATTTTTTAAAAGTGTTTCAAAGGTCCCTAAATAATTTTTAGCGTTTGTTCTATCCATGTTTTTTAAACAACCTCACAGCCCTTACGTTGTGATAAAGACTCTCATTTTTAGCATTCTCAATTTAAGTGCTTACGTCTTTTTCCATCATTTTATCAAACTTTTTTTCTTTAAACAATCTCACAACCCTCACTGAGAAGGTATATAGTACAAACAGGTGTACGGTATATCCGGGTAGTATTCATTCTGAAGTAGAGTAGTACTTATTCTCGCACAAATATAATTAGTGAGGTACTCATTCTAAAATAATGCAGTACTCATTTTCAGACATTAGTTCAATATAATTATTATATTCATCTACAAAAAATGTAATATTCATTATGAAACAATACAATACTCATTTTTAAATAAATTAGTGTTCATTCTCATGTAAAATAAAATCCATATCCTAAATAATTGCTTAGGTATAATAGGATGTATAATATAATTTGCCGCCCTTACTTTGCTCTATAAATTGGCCAAGCATGACTTCCCCTCAACAAAATTGAGAGCCTGAAAATAAAGTAGCGCCAATCCGCCAACTGCAATAAACTTCTTTCTCTTCTACTAGTAGCATTTCAGAAGGCATTCTCAGTCCCTCCTGCTCCTTCTCCAGCATAACCTGAAAGACGTTGGAATGCGAACTCGGTTCCCCTGTACCGATTACTCCATCTCCAATGCGTTTCAGGCCACAGATTTCCTCCGCCTCCCCCTTCCCCATCTCCCGCCTATCATTTCATCCGGATTCAAAGGCCTTCCTCGTTTCGATCAGCTGTCAATCCTAGGAATCGATATCGGAATCAATCAATTACCGATCGAAAAAGCTCTGTCTAAGCTCCTCTCCGAATGCCTACCTAACTTTATTGATGTTGATTTTGATGTTCTTCATTCCGACAAACCAGCTCGCTCGAGAGAGGTGGACTCTAGAGAGCTCACAAGTTCGAATTCCAACCAAAATGAGCAAGTAACCTTCGTCCTTATTTATGATCTGGTTTTATGAATTGCTGAGTATTTTCCATTAGATTCGTGCTGTGCATACCTAATTCTTAAATGCGTCTGCTGATACTTATTATTATGTTCAATTTTATGATGGCATCAGTGTCCAGATATGCATGGAGTGATGAAGGCCTGCGTGATTGAATAATCATTAATTAATGAGGCATCTGCATATAAACTACTCTGATCCGTACATAACTATGTTGTATTTCTGCTTCTATTTGAAAAGATCAGTAATGCTTTTGCGGATTGTATACCTAATGTCTTATGAGCTATATTATATAAGACATTGCTGATGGATAGGTCCATATCTCTGAGAAAGTAGACCTAGACGTTAGCCTCTCGTTGGATTCTAATATCCATATTTTTTCTTGAAGCAAACAGATTGGCTTGGAAGCCTAAAATGGAATCTAAATTAATCGTTCAATGTCATGTGCATTTTTTCGCGTGTTCTTTTTTATGCGTACTGTTTCTTATTGGAGGAATTATGATTGCCTTTTTTTGTATGGACATAACCTGCTGAATCAATATCGATATCTAGAACTTGAAATCGTCTCCATGTTCTATTGTTTTGGTGGGTACTCCCTGTTGTATTTATATGTTGCACAAGTAATCAAGTGGTTTTAAGATTTTACTTTGTTTTATGGTATTATTACATCTCACTGCAGGAAGGCATTGTTCCAGTTGATGTCAAGCAAGATGCCAAGTTTGACATTCTCCAGTTTGAAATTCCAGAGCTCGATTCAGTCCTGCTTCCAGTGGTAAACCATCATGTTTATGATTTGATCATATTCACATATTGCAATGATATATATGCTTAATTATAAATTATTTCATAGACAATTCATTCACTTTCCCCATCACAAAGCTGCCTTTTATTTTCAGGAGGACACACCCATTCTTCCTGACATTTCCTTTGTTGAAAAGAAGGTAGTGAACATCTTGAGTAAAATAATATGAACTTATTATGTACATGTGAAGTATTAGAGTAAGATGTTAAGCTATACTTTGGTTCAATCTAATCAATGGTATGAACTCTTAGGATAGGAGATAAAGCGAATATAATTTGGCTCGTTTATCTTCTATCTTATACCCATCATAATTGCTTATGATACTGAAAGCTAACTGCAAAACTGTGTGTGTGTGTGTGTGACCCTCTATACTGTTGAATATGTATCCCCTGTTATGCACTTCTAGGTAACTGGGAAAATTGTGCACTCCTTTCAGGAAATACCCAGTACTGAAACCACACTGCAGTATCCCCTTGATATTCCACAATCACTTTATGCAGTAGATGAAATCCACTTGCCTACTTTTGAGGAGAAAAAGGTTAATTATCTGGAAGACAGTGGCTTTATTCAGGGGCAATATATTTTTCATACTACCCAGTTTCCTCTCCTTGAAGTGGATGATGCCGGTTTGGGTATTGTGAGTGATATGCCCATAAAAAATGAATTTCAAATATTCAAAAGTATTGAAATTCACTCAATTGGAGGTGATGGATTGAGTGACTCAGAAGCTTTAGTGGGTAGTACAGGAGTTGACTCATTAGTATGTGATTCAAATCACTGTTTAGTGGCAAAACATATTGAGGTCAAGATACCTCTTTCGACTGACTCCCTTGAAACAAATATTCTAAGTGTCATAGAACAAAGAGAGAACTCACACAACTGTTCAAGTTGTCTGAGAAGTTCAATAATATTTGAGGAGCCACAGTTCTTTGACTTGGGTCCTCATTTCTGTGAAGCCCTATCCGATGTGAAATTGCAGATGGAAGAAGAAATTCCTGAAGAAGCTATGATTGTTAGGAGCTTTTATGAGCTCATAGTTCGTGAGGAGCTCACTATGACAGATAGTTTTTTCAAATCATTGCCAGTGCCGGTATGCCTGGACCATGAAAGATCAAGGTCACTACATTCATATGTGGAGGAGATCCTAGTTGGATTAGATTCAAAACAATTGTTTGCATCTGATGGTTTATATTTGGATTGGCATATTCTGGAAGAAGTGAATAGCTGCTGTAATGAAGATTCTTTGTTTTCAAAACTTTTGGGGGATGCTTACACCATTGATACAGCTTTGGAATCGGGTGATAGTGAGATGCTATTATATAAATTTATTTTTTCTGGTGATTCTCCTAAGGCATCAAAGAAAGACGCGAGTGAAGAAACACTCCACATATCTTTTAATGACACTCTGGAAAATCATCTGCCTTTCGGTGAAAATTCTTCAAGTACGTTGCAGGTTGATAGTAATAAAGGGGCATCAACTGATGGGGAATCATCCAACTCTGTTTCCAAAAAGAAATCTTCACTTGCTGTTCCCTTCTCCCCCTTCAATGATCTGAATCTTCTTTTAAATCAAGAAGCCTTCTCAAGCGGGAAAGAACATAAACTAACTGATCAACTATCTGATTTTCATACTGTGGATGATAATAACGCAGAGTCCCAGAAAAAAGATCAGCATTATCTTTCTTCCCTCAGTGAAAGTGATAAGCTGGAAAAACAATGGAGATGTATGCCAGTGGAAAAGAAACATGATTCTGGATATATAGAAACATTTGGAGGAGATGAAGTTTGCTCTATGCTGCTGCCTAAATGTGAGCCATTTGACAGATCGGAGAAACGTCACGCAAGTGACTGCTCTCTCACTGAAGCCATCATTGTTGTGAACACACAAGACTTTGACAAACAAATGATAATATCACGGATAAAAACATACCAAAATATTCTTTCACTGGAGAAGAAAGGAGCACAAGTAATAGAGCGTGACTTGCACCATCCAGTTGATGTCATTATCAGTGCCTCTATTTGCATTGCATGGTATACCTGCAGTAATATTGCAAAGAAAGCTACTGCATCAGATGAGGCCTTTTCATGCTTGCCACTATGTCTGGAAAATATTGCTACAAGTATTTTGACTTCGCTAAGCTATGCTTTTGATGGCTTCATTCTGGTAATTGTTAATTCTCTCATGCTAAACTGTTTCAGAATTCTCTCTACTCCTTTGTATTCAAGTGTACAGAAATAGGTTAATCAGTGTGTGCCTATTTTAAATTCATTGTCTTGTTTCTAGAAAGTAATGAATACTGAAAAGGAACAAGATATACTCATATGAAGAGAAACCAAGACAAGCATTGTAAACAATTGCTCATGCTAAGCATTGTTCTCATGCATCATCTCAAGAGATGAATATAGAGTTTGAATGCTTTTTAATTTACATTCCAGGTCTTTGAGGGAGAGAGGAGTTTCCTGGATGGGATAATAGAGTTATCAGATCAGCTATATGCCGCTGCACCTAGCCTGGGAATTGATATGCAAATCTTCTGCTCATATTCTCCCGAGATGACTGAAAAAATCATAATATCATGCATTGAAGCAGAATCAACGAAAAATAGAGGCATGCTTCCTAAAATGCCCGAGTCGGAGACATTAGCTGAGTCTTTTCTTACTATGTTTCCTTCAATCAATCCACTTTCAGCTCAAGCAATAGTTTCTTCTGTGAGTATGCTTCTTGAGTTTCTGGAGTGGTCACATGAGTGCAGAGTTCATGCAGTTCAAAAGTATGGGGTTTCTTATGATAGCATTTGGTTATTAAGTGCTTTGAGTAGATACGGGGAGCGCGAGGAGTCTAAATCAGGAATGACAGATTGCTCTTCGGTATCTTCTGTTCTTGGCTCAGAGTCTCTTAATTTTGGAAATGACTCTGCAAGGAGAAAAAGGAAGTATGCAGGGTATCTACATGATCTTGAAGACAGTTATCCATGCGCATCTGATCCATACCTATCACGGATTCCAGAAAAGACAACCTCATTTAATGGGTCTGGGATGCGCAGTTTATCTTTTGATAACTTTTTTGGTCAGCCCCTTGGATTAGAGACCAATATGATAATGAATCATCAGAATTCATCTCAATCCTATGACTTTCTGACCGCAAGAGATGCTGAGATGGGAGATCAAATGAATAAAACTGATCTTACTTCCAGTGGTGTATGTTTCCCGCCAAGACAACCCCCTGCTAGGTCCATTATTAACAAATTTGATGGACAAGGAAGCAAAGAGTCTAGAAACAAAAACAAAAGTTTTATAGATGCAGGTGAAACTATCGACATTGAGTTTTCTCATGCAAACAGTAAAAAGAATTCTACTGCAGATTGTAAGTCCTTTTCACCATTGTTGCGTGAAGTGGATCAGGACTTGAGACCACGGGTCCCTAGAACTGCAAAAAGACTCTATTTTGATACAAACAACCTTCCCAGTTTTCCTACTGACGTGGATATTGATTCGTCCTCTTATGATTGGACTTCTATAAGCCATCAAGGACAAAGCCCTGGAGAAAGAAGTGATCACCAAAAAGTAATGGGTTTCAACAGAAATAGAAATCCATTTGAATATTTTAAGAACAATGAGGCCTTAGGAGGTCAATCACTGAAGAAAGTACAAAATTTGCATAACCACACACTGCAAGAGAGAAATACAATGACACCACTATCACGTGCAATAAATTCTTCTCCGCTGCTGCAAGAATCACCCTGGGAGATTGAATTTCTCAACAGGATCAGGCATAAGAGTACATCACGCAAGCATTCTGGTCTTCATAACTTATGTGCCCCTTGTTATGGACACCAAGAGGCTAGATCAAAGGGTACAAAGAGGAGTCCATCTATCATTGAACAATTCAAGTACGAAGGACAGTGTGCCTCAGATAAATCCAATGAACAAAAAAAGCAAAAGCGTTTTATATGGCCATCATCAACATCTAAGATTGAAAAGAATTCTGTCTCAGAAAGATCAACACGGACACCAGTTGATAAAAAAGCAAAACGAGTATATCTTTTAAACCTATCTTTAAAATGAATTAATCAATTGTTGCTGTTTAATCATTCCACTTTAACTGTATGCAGAAACTGTCTTTTGCAACAAATGGAAGTGGAGGGCAAACTAAGCTGGTGTGGTGTGACAGTGGTTCTCACACTCCAGGCACAAGATTTTAGCAATTTGTTTATGCAGTAATATTTTCTCATGCATGTACATGGTTTCAGATTTTTGCATTCCTAGGGCATAGCAAGAACACATTTTTTTTGTACAGGGTGAGTGTATGACTGAATGTCAAGATTATCTCGGCCATGTTGCAGGCTATGTTGCAGGCAGGCCTTTAAAAAAGAGAGTTGCCTTGAATTCAGTAGTCTATATATATTCATTCATAGAGGATTTAGTGCACTTCTAGTTCTTCTTTCCGTTCTTCAGATTGCGTAAGGTCATGACAAGTTGCTGCCTCTCACCTTCTACCTCCGCAAATCTGAGACTGATTTCTGAATATCTCTCTTCCATTTCCTTAAGCTCGCCTTCCCTACACTTGTCTTTTTCTCTCAGCAATGCTACTTCTTTATGTAATTCAGTGAGATCATTTGTACTTCTGGCATGCCCATTGACGACCTTTGGTATTTTTGAGTCAATCTCTTTACTGCAGAAAGAGCAGCAAATTTTAGTGTCTTGTTTTGTAACCGTTTGGTAGCATCATCTCTTTATTGAGATTTTTGCTTTGTTTTGCATAAGGAGCAGTGAGTTTAGTGTATGCAATGTAGTAAAAGACAATACACTGAGGATATTATAGGTTTGACAAGTTCAATAATTCAATTTCAATACCTTAGTTGTTCTTTTTTCTTGATTCCATTTTCCACTGACAAGGCTTCTGGAGACTCCATCTCTCCACAATGGGAACATTCACCATTACCTTTTCTTGCTTCTACCATAGCTGCACTTGAAGGCCTGCTCTCCTGTATCTCAAAGTGAGCAGATCTTTCAGAAAATTATGTGGCAATAGATGACACTGACAATTTCTTCCAGAATGGTCGTGCTAGAGAACATCAGAATTACTAATGATTATTTATATGACATTGCACTTACTGGAACAGGATGCTGACTGGATATTATATCCTTACGTGTATACAGATTATTTCACTGATTTCAGTATTTCATAATCTTAATTATTTTCATTACAAGAGAAAAATATTTACAAAAAAATGTGCCACTGATCTCACTAAACCTGGGAATTATTGTGTTCTTTCTTATTAACATTAACATTGGTGAAGCATGGGTATGCTACCTCGAAGATGATAAAAACATGTCTGGCTTTTAATGTAATCTTTTATTAGGCTCCATTTGATTTTTCATTATTGTTACATTAGAAGGTTACAACAGGAAGGGCATCCGACATAAAACTTTGCCACTGTTTTATTTGCATGAATTCATAGTAGTTACCAATTTTAAACAATAATTCACACCTGTTTTTTTTTTGCCTACTTGTATGACAAAATTGGTAAATACTATGAATTCATGCAAATAAAATTATTCACAAAAGTTTTGACTCCAAAGTCAAATAAACTTGGAGGCTGCAATTGAAGGAGGTGGGGGCGGGGGGGGGGGTGAGTTTTTGGGTCGAGGCGGGTGGAGGAGTTTGTCAGGGGTTAGGAGGGGTAGGAATCGTCAGTTTTACAAATAGAGCACCGTAGGACCCTCGGGTCATACTATGATTGTCAGGCAATGTCACATGAACAGGGGTGACTTGTATAAGTAGAAGAACAAATGAGTAAGTAATGCAGTTATTTTTGTCTTTTTAAATTCAACTTACTGCTATAAGTAAATGACCTATTATCTGTATGAGAGCCCAATTGTTTTAATTTGTAGTGGTATATACCTGTCCTTTCTTACGTAGGTGACTCTGCAATTTGGACACGTGCTTCTTCAGGTTTTCGTTCTCTAACTTTAACTGTTCTGACCCATGCACCAAATCATTGTATAGGACTTGAAGTTTCTTAATTTCAGCTTGTAAGTCTTCTTCAGTTTTCTTCTTTTCATCCATCAAAGCCTGCATTTTGTTTGACTCCTCCAGTAATATCTGATTGTTTTGATTTGAAAGTTGATGCAGCTCTTTCGTGTACCGATCTGTTGTCAATTGAAGTTCTTTTTTGGCTTCTTGCAGCGAGTCCTCAAGAGCTTTATTCTGTTGTAAAAGAGCATTAGCATGAGCCTCTGCTTCATTAGCTAGTTTATCCTTCTCATCAACTTTAGCTGCCATCTCAACAGAAAGCCTTCTGATTTCTTCCTGAAGTTGCTGACTTGCCCTTGCGTGGTTTAACATTGTTCTTTTCAATGCGTCTTCGGAACTAATGGCCCTTTGTTCCTGCAAAACTTTGGCTTCAGTTGCTGCTTCTAGATTTTCTTCAAATGCTTGTGCCTGTTTCTTCAGCTCCTTCTCAAGGCTCACGACTTCAGATTCTAGCATGCTTATTGTGTCCAAAGATTCAGTGTAATTCATTGCTTCTCTTTGCAATTCATTCTCCAACTGTTCTACATGTGCCTTTAACTGCTTTATGCTGGCCAATGCTTCAAAGTGATCTTGTTGCAGTCTCTCTTTTTGTAACTCACTCTGCTCAAGCTCAGAATAAATGTCCCTACTTTCATTTTTCAGGATCTCACAATCACTTACAAGTTGGTCCTTCTGTGCTTTTAGCTCTTCATTTTCTTTTGTGTAGATCTCAATTTCCTTGGACAGCTTTTCTATGGTACGCTTCAGCTCTTCTGATTCATTTACCTTCTCAAACATCTCACTGGCTTTCTCTTCATTCTGATTGCTTCTTAAGTTGAAACTTCCATTTGCCTTCCTTGTACTGGAAAGATGAGATATCTCCTCGTTTTTCTTATCCAACGCTTCATTAAGGTCCCTTACCCTGAGAATAAGTTCAGAGTAAGAGTCCTCTGTCTTTTGCAGTTTCAGCTTCAAATTGCTTCTTAATCTTTTCTCATGCTCAAGCTCTTGCCTGAACTCCTCTAACTGTGGTCTCAAATCTTCAACTTCACTTGGAAGTGTATCTGGTTCACCCGCGTGCCCCCCTGTAGCTTTTAGCTTAAGTTGATCGCATTCAGTTTTAAGTGCATCTCTCTCCTCTTGCAGGTCAAAAATTTGCTGCACTAGGTCCTGTCCCCTTTTGCTTTCTTTTACAATTTGTCTCCTCAGGGACTGCAGCTCTATTTCAGAAACCTCTGCCTGCCTTTCCAACATTTTGATTTGATTTTGCAATTTTAATATGCTGTTTGTTGTTTCAGTTTCTTCCCTTGGGGTATCTTCCTTGGGTCTGTTTGTTGCATCTTTTACACTTCCATCTGAGATTGAACCCAGAGAGCAATCTGTGGAGGATCTCTGATGGGAATATCTTTCGAGAGAATTGATGCCAAAAGCAGGCTTCTGTGGCCTGAAGTCCTGCTTAAGACTACTAAGGTTTTGATTCACATCAATATCATCACGCGGAAGATGTTTAAGGCTGTCATTTTTGTGGAATTCGTCGCCCTGTCAAATGCATAAACATCAAGTTTTGCTTAGGAGGGAAGTGAAAATAGATGCTAGGGATGTGAGCTTACTTGGGCGGAGTTTGATTCCAGCTCTGATTCCAATCTGTGATCATATGAGTCGGTTCTCGAAACATCACTTTCTTCTATTCTCCTGAAACAAGGAAAAACCTCTGCTATGTCATATCATTACTTCATTTACATACTACGTAATACTGTAAAACCCAAACTAGAATGAACATCTTGTTGGCATTTTCATATTTGTGGCCGGAGTTCTCCATCACCTTTGATTGGGGACTATTCCTTGCACCTTCTGCACTGTGACCTGTTACATGATTTACATTACATGAATATCTTCAGATCAGATTGATGCATCCACATTTTATTATAAAAAAGTATAATAATTGGCAGTCCGTGTTCTCCAACCATGTGATAGTGCATTTCATGTGTGTGTGTGTGTGTGAGAGAGAGAGAGAGGACTAACTTGCAGAACTATGCCGGAGTCTGCTGGCATAAGGGGAAGACATAACAATACTGGTTCAGTAATATCTGCCAATTCGGCAAAGTCCATTCCCACCTCTCCCAGAAAACCAGATTTTGATGATTTCTGCCAATTCACAGCAGTATATTTTTTATTTTGAAAAAAAAAATAAAGAAAGAAAGGGACGATATGATTATTGGCGCAGCTTACAGTCCCGAGGACAAAATAGTAAATCTTTTCTTGCAATATTCCTGATTTAGAATCTTTCTCAAATCTAATGGTTTCTTGGACAGGAGCATCCCAGGAGCAGCAGCCTTGGGTTATGGCAGCCTTTCCTAATTTGAGTGTGGGCCTTCCAGCATCCGCAGGAAGAATGGATAGGATGAGGCCTTTTGCCTTCAGCTGAGGCACCTGCACCAGGTAACAAAAACTACTTTCAGATGGAGTCCCATTATATATTAATGCTGCTGCTGCTGCTACTACTACTACTACTACTATATTGTTATTTAGTACTAGTATATGAAAAGAGGGGGCATTGCTTGCTTGCTTGCTCTCAACCACTGCGTACCTGGGTTGCTTGAATGCGCATTTGGAATACAGCTTTGATCTTCTCCTTTCTCGATTTTGCAGACATGAACATGATTTATTTATTGATTGATTGGTTGATTGATTTCTGTACCACTTACTTATTAGCCTCCTCTCTTCCTCTTCCTCTTCCTCTTCCTCTTCTTCTTCTTCTTCTTCTTCTTCTTGTCTTCTTCTTCCTTGTTCGTCTAGGTTTGCAGCAGAGGGAAGAAAGCTGCGGAGGTAGTAAAGAAGGGATTCATTCATTCATTCAACATTTCAGATCCTTTGCCTGCTGTTCAAGTTCGAAAAGGAGAGATGAAAATTTCAGATGCTTCGCCTGCTGTTCAAGCTCATAAAGGAGAAGAAAAAGACCAACTCCAGCCGACATAACATATCATATGGGTACGCACTGTTGCCATCAAATTAATTATTGGGTTTGGCTCGCTGGCTGGGCTGGAGCAATTAAATTCAATTCCAACTTTCGGATACGAGGTAGTAGTAATAGTAATAATAATAATAATAATAATAATAATAATAATAATAATAATAATAATAATAATAATAATAATAATAATAATAATAATAATAATAATAATAATAACTTTTTGAGTCAATTATTATTAATATTATACTCCAGTTATTATTATTATTGTTATTATTATAGTAATACGGAGTAGTATAATTATTACAGTGTGGTTTTTCTTCACCAGTTTGATACGGAACGGAGTACAGAGCTCAAAGAGTCTGGTTCTGTCTACAAAGTCGTACACACTTTATTTGCCTTATTGTAAAGCTTTTGAATGTTTTCTACAAAGTCGCCTAATTTCATCTGGGAAATGCTTGGTTCACAAACATAATGATCACAAACTTCACAAACTTACTATTTGTGAACTTTCATGCATAAAATTAAATTGTCTAAAATGATTTTAAAATAAAATTTTAAATCATAAATAGTAAGTTTGTGAAGTTTGTGAGTATTTTATTTGTGAACATAGCACTACTCATTTCATCTTAAAAAGAGTCATTGATTGAGGTGTAAATGTTGTTCATTTACTATACTTGTTGACCTGGAATTACTACCATATTGGAGAGTTTTTTTGTAACAAAAATGTTTGGTGTACATCAAAATTTTGTTCACTCCATCCGTCATAGATTTTCTCAGATACTATTTACACGATTAAATTTAACTTACTTTGTTTGCTTATTTTTACTACTCATTTCATAAAATAATATAATCTTGTCACATCTAATTTTGTAAAACTTTTTTATCTAGTTTTTTTTCTATAAGTTTAATTTTAAAACTTTATTCCTAAAAGTAAGTATATCCATTTGAGAGTCGATGATCTTTGATGAATGGAGCTCTCACTAAGTAATACTCCGGAATTATGTGACTTTGATACTCCGTAACGAACCGGGACGGAGCAAAAGACGCTGAAGAAGGGATGCAATGGGATGAATGAAGTGGGCCGTGGTGGGGTTGTCGACAGCGTTAGTGTTGGGACGTGTGGTGCTTAGCTGAGCTGTGTTATGACTGTTATCTATCGAAATCACAAATAAAATTATGACAAAATTTATTAAAAAAATTGAAAAATTTAAAATAATTTTAAAATAAAAATTTAAATTTTAAATGGTAAGTTTGTAAAATTTATGATGATTTTATTTGTGAACCTAGCACTATGAGTGAGTAAATACTGAACCGATCTTGAAATTTCTTGAAAAAACTGAGATTAATGAACCAAAAAATACTTAACAAATACAAATATCGAAAAAGAATTGTACTGTACCAAACCGAATGGTCGGTTTGGTATTTAGGATCAGTACGAGGTAACTTTCCATATCGAAAAATCTCGAACCCAACATATATACGAATATGTTATAAAAATAAGAATGTTTTTATATTTCTTCATTTAATAATAAATTGATTTTGAAAAGTTTGTTTGGGTGTTGATGAATTACAAATAGTCTTTTATTTAAATAATTATTCATTTAAATTTCAATTTTTTGGAGATGAATATAAAAAAATTAACAAAGATTTGAAATACTATTTTATTATCATTCGTTCTCTTTTGTTTGTGAAATATAAAGTATAAATTAAACTAAGTTTGATAAGCATTTCTTGCAATTAATTATTTATTTTTAAATTTTCGTCTTTCTTTATTTGAGAAGCACTTTCAATTTTTTAAATAAAGAGTTTTGTACATTTCAAAGTGTAATCTAGGTGTGTGTGTGTATATATATATATATACATACTTACATACATACATACATACATACATATATATATATATACATACATACATACATACATACATACATACATATATATATATATGTATGTATGTGTGTGTGTGTATATATATATATATATATATCCCAATATTTACCAATACCAAAACAGAATAATCACGTACCATATCAAATTGATACTTTGAGATCGAGATTAGTACAATGTAAAATCCATATCGAATCAAAATAATTAGTACAATATCGGTACGAACCAAATACGTGTATCACACTCATTGCTCTTATCCATCTATCCCCACGAAAGTCAAGACTTGTTTAAGTTCATAAGGGGATGCCACGTGTCATGTGGGAGAGTTGAGACTTCTCCCTACCGCACGTTAGAAAGCCTCCATCCAAAAACAAATTTTCTTTATTCATGATTTTTGAATTAATTTACTTTTATCTAAAAATAGCATTGTACAAGACAAAGAAGTAAAAATTTAGTGTGTTTTTATCTTCTTTGGGGTTCTAGTGACAACCGTGTTTAGTGACACTGCCATTTCGGGGTACTTTCGGTGCTCTGTTAAAAAAAAACAGTTTCTACCCCTAAATCTCCACCCTACCCCACCCATGCACCCCACAATGCATAATAGCCACAAGACATAGTCTATAACATTGGATAAAATTTGTTTGTAAAAATTTCATAGACAGATATAACCAACAATTTTTGTGTGTAAATACTAAATACATTTTAATGAACATCTGGTCCAATATAAACTACGAGTTAGACTCAACCCGATGTAATTATTATTAATCACCCTCCCGAATTACTTAGAGGCTTTGGGTGAAAAGGTAGTCAGGTTCTCTCCTGGAAGAAGTACTGTCATATCATTAATATATGCTTAAAATATCCAATATAACACTGCTATGTGATATTGAAACTCGTGTGGATGCAATTTCAAATTTGTCCTTACATTCCACACTATCAAAAAATATGTTTAAGTGGGTATACACTTCCAGAACATGAGCATAACACACTGCCATCATACCCAATATATCTACACTGCCAAAGCATGATAGAAAACATCCTAAATAGAACTAAAACATAGAGAAAAGTACCAAAATAGAACTTTCATGTTTTTTCCCCGGAATAGGACTTTGCACTGTGGTAATGTGACTTTGCATTATGGTAATGTAGCAGTATACATGTGCAAATTACTATACTTTTTTGGTAATGTATATGATCATGTCTGGTAATGTAAGTCCTATTTCAGAAATAAAAAATGGAAGTCCTATTTTGGTATATTTTCAATGTTTTAGTCCTACTTTGATCTTTCTCTCCAAAGCATGATCGTTCCACACTGTCAAAAAAGTATTTAAGTTGGTATACATACACTTCCAGAACATGGGCACAGCACACTGGCAGAAAGTGTAGTTAAGTATTGTGAACCATAACACATTGCCCAAAACATAAACATTGACCACTTAAACAGCTGGTTCAACCAGTGATAAGTACCTAGACCCGTTTCGATCACAGGTCAAGCGACAAATTATTTCCCATCATATGCAAAAAGAAAGTGTGAAATTAGTTTATGCGGAAAAAGATTATTTATGTGCGGTTTTGTAATACTCCGTAATAGTTTCCTTTTTGTTTGTTTTTTCTGGTAATTATAGTTCTTCCTTGTAAAATAATTTTTTGTTTGTTTTTTGGGTTATAATTTGTTCTTAGTTCTTCATTTTTATTCCTTAGCTTTTTTACCTAAATTATGTTTGACACTTTTTTGTGCAGTCACGTGATCTTGGATTAGAAGTACCAAATGTTTTATGTGCTCCTCCCGCTCCG